CAAGTTGCTGTTGCTTTGGCTGGTGGTAAGCTTGTGTATTTCGAACTTGACCCTGTAGGTTTTGCCTCTTTCTTTTTCCTATAACATTTTCTTTGATACCTGAGACGCTCACTTATTTTTCATAGACTGAGCAACTAAACGAGTTCACTGAACGAACTTCATGGCCTCATGAGGTCCTATGCATGAGCTTGAGTGAAATACCCGAAGGAGAGCTTCGTTCACGTTTTCTCTGTAGGGATTGCTGACAGCACAGTTCGTATGATCTCTTTGGATCCTACTGACACCCTTAGTCCTTTAAGGTATGTAGTAAAGAAATCCAGGTAAAAAATTGCGAAGTAAGATATGTTGTATCTTAGTATGCAAGCTCTTCCATCTCAATTGGAATCGCTTCTTTTACTGGAAACCACTAGGGAGGATGGTAAAGGATCTTCGACTATTCATCTTAATATCGGTCTCCAGGTTCATTATTGTTACCTTACCTATCATTCTTTTTGGTTTTTGTGCTCTGCTTTGTTATTAAAGCTTCGCTCTCCTCAAACATGTTAGATTTCTTCTTAGAACGGATGCTTACTGCGTACCATGGTTGATAACGTCACTGGGGATATGATGGATACCAGGACAAGATATCTGGGTACCAGACCTATAAGGGTGTGTCGGGTCCGAAGTCAGAAAAAGATGTAATGAGTTGACCAAAATCCATCAAAAATATTACTTATACTTAGGTGTTTAGGTTCTCTGCACCTCGTCAAGGTCGTGGTTATTGTACCACTATCACAATCGTTTCGACTTGACACTACTGAGCTATGTAACATTGGAGTCAGCTTCAAGCTTTAGTTCAGAGCAGTATCTAGAGGGCATAGTTGCGATAGCAGAGAATACTTTGAGGTGTCTTCGAGAAGGCTGGTCTGTTAATCCTCTCTCTAAGTGAGTTTTTCAGGATCATGGCAGTAGAGAAACTTGGTGCTTATTTCAATCACATCAGCTATCCGTTGAAATATACTCCTCGAAGAATGATTGTGCACCCCTTAGCCACTGCACTCGTGATGATCGAGACCGACCATGCAGCTTATACAAATGTTACTTTGAACAAAAAAAGAAATGATATGGCCGATGTGAGTTCACACTTTTGCATGTTTTCAACTTTATATCACCTTTTTCAAATATCATTCTTTTAGATAGAAATATCCTGCACGCCAATTCCATATGAGAACCTTAAAACAAAAATTCAGTGGCAATTACATTTCTCTGTTGTTTATCATTGCTCGTTTCATTTAGTGATTATAGAAGTA